CTAGGTTTTGTGTCCGTCCTCTGGCGTTCTTTGCGTCTGACCGAGAGTGCCAGCTGCGAATACCTGGAGGGAGCGGCTGATGGGCGGAGCCGTTGGGTTCTTCAAGACGAGTTGCGGTGTTTTTTTGTTGCGGATGTGCTTTTGTAGAAAAAGAGGGTGTTGAATGCATAGACGAGGAGTGATGCACCATCTGTGATACATCTCAAGCAGGAGGACGGAGGGGTGGAACGGCTTCTGAGTTAGAAGCCACGCTGGCTAGCAAGCTTGCACGGTGGTAGCTGTTCGAGGTAGCAGTCGGTGTCCGTGCGGTTGTTTGCGTCGTGCGAGCTGTCCCTCCCTTCTGTCACGGGCGGAGGTACAAAAATCTAAAGATCCTTCCTGAAGAAATTTGTATTCGGGCCAACAGTACCCTTCTTCCCCTCGCTGCCTCGGCAAGGTTTTGCTTAGGCATGGCCCAAAGCGAGGGGGGGGGTCTTTCTAGCGAGCAGGGCTAGACTCATCCTCAAGGGACCGACACCTTCTTGCTACGGCGCACCCGCCGCAAGGCGTGCGTAGTGGTGGAGTTGGGTCGGCACTGGTGCGTCAAGTACAAAGGTGCAGATGCGCGGGCCTCGAGGCCGTCGGTGCAGGCAGCAATGCCCATCTCATCTTTGTGCGCGGAGGCAGACGCCATCAGAAAGGTGGACGGGCACTATGTACACGGCCCTATGCTTGCTAGAGGGAGCTGTACTGTCTCAGTAACCTGGTTTTGCCATAAAATGAGGAGGGGACAGGTGGTGACGAGCTGACTGGGCTGGTTGACCCTTCGGCGCGAGAATTTTCAGACCAAGAACCCTAAGTGCAACGAGGGAGAAAGCGAGGAACCGACTGGGAAGGACAGCAACGAGAGCGTGTACGAAGCGGAGCGGGTCGAATTTGGTCGTGCTAGGACTGGCCACAGCGACACCGGAGAAGCGGCACCGGAGCAGCGGCACCGGAGCAGCAGCGAAACCGGAGCATGCGGACGGCATCGAACCGTGTCGCACGGACAAACATCTATCTCTTGTGTTGTCAATTATTTTCCGTTTTTTTTTTCCTGAATATAGGTATTAGGTGTGTGTAATGACGTCACTGGTTTTGTAGAGAGACGCGGCAGAGATGGCGCGGATAACCCTGGTGCCTTAATTGTAAACCTGCATCGTTGAAGACCCCTTCAATGTGGAACGATTCCTAGTCAGTGCCGATGTTTACACTGCTGTGTCTAACACAGATGATCTGGATAGATTCGGGCGATTGTCAATTGCAATGATGGCTTTGGTTGGTTGTTCTTCTTCATTGTATGTCCACGGGACCATTCTGACAGCACTTCAGACAGCAGCTGCATGCCCCGAGCTTGTTGTGCTGCACCATACACCATGGTGTTATTTTGTACAGACAGCACTTCAGACAGCAGACGCTGTAGTCGACAAACATTCATTTTGGTGAAGTGCGGGACAAGGGGGGTGATGCCGCCTGCTGTAGTCGAATTGTAGTGTGTGGGCGTGTAGTTCAGTTGTGAGCACGCAAACGTGCTGCAGGGATTGTAGGTGTACCTCCTCGGGCTTGTGTATACCCTTTTCTTGCTAATAGTGTGCGTGTTCTTTAGATCTTCTGATGGCTTTAGCATTTTTGTGACGACGGGCCGAGTCTTCGCTAGATTTTGGGATTAGCAACTGACACGAACGAGTTTAATGTGAAGAAAAACAACAACAACAACAACCCCTTATTCGGGAAAAAAGATCCAGCCCGAATTCCCGACCCATGGTTCGGGAATATCTGCGCGGTATTTCAAACTCAAATTCCCGGGAATCTCGACAATCCAGTCAACTAATCCAGGAATCTCGAGCTTGAAATATGTCAAATGTGTAGACACACTCCGAGCGAAGAGTGCGTGACCACGTGACCGCTGGCTTTGGGAGATTTAAAAAAAAAAAACAAAAGAGCGGACTAACTTTAGCACAATGATGAAGAGGGTCACCCAGCCCTGCATTCTTCTTTCTCCTCTTACACAAAACAACACACCCCCACCTCACGCCTTCGGAGACACCTGAAGAACACTCCTGAAAAGCTCCACACAGCCAGCACAGCAGGGGTTCGTTGGCAAAGGACCCGGATACGGGTGAGACGAATGTAGGACACACGGTAGCAGTAATCGAGATAGCGCTTGTGCGATGCGATGCACAGCACTTAAACAGTCAGTGGTCATCACGACACAGGTTTGCTGTTGCATGATGTTGTCGTTTTGATAGATCTAGCTGCTCTATCGGCCGTGTCGGGGTAGGTGGGGACAGGACTAGAGAAGCAACTCTCGAGAATGACAGTGCCGGTCGTGTTTGGCGCGGTAACCGCGGACGGTTAGGATAGGGGCGTCGCGGGTTTGCTGCTCTCCCTCTCTCAGGAAACAACAACGGCAATTTATTTCCTGCCAGACATCAGGGTCCTGTAGCGCGCCAAACTGACTTGTGTGCAACAGGCTGGGCCGTACCTCTCTCTCTCTCTCTCTCTCTCTCTCTCTCTCTCTCTCTCTCTCTCTCTCTCTCTCTCTCTCTCTCTCTCTTTCTCTCTCTCTCTCTCTCTCTCCACCAAGACAGACACGCGACCGATCATAGGCAGTCGAGTTGTTGAGTTGCTACATCAGGGGTGCGTGCAACTGCATGGTCTGATGTTCGGCGCGCTCTCTCCCTCTCTCTTGCGAGAAGGGGTTGCGGCACCAAAAAGTCGGAATCATCTCCCATATATCTGTGGGAAAGAGAGGGGTACGGCAGTACAACATGCAACAGCAACGCGAGCATGCCAACACGCTCCTATCACGCACACACACACCGCCTCTGGTACGCCATGTAGTTTGCCCAACACCTGCGCGCATTGGTAAAATCGTTTTTGTGGGGCGTATGCGATTTCCCGAGATCCGTCGTCGTTGACGTTGGTCGAGAACCAATTCTTCTTTAGGCACGAAAGGCTCCACAGCTGTTCCCCAAGCTGGCGTTTTCGCGCGCTCTCGTCAACACTCGTCGCCGCTGCTTCGTTTTGCCACCGCTGCGGCGGCTAGCCTTTGCCACGATGGCATGTCATTACCATTTTTGCTGTTTTTAGTGCCGTACTCCATTCTCATTCCTCCCCATGCGTCTCCCGGTTGTGATCTTTATTCGTTGTCTCCATGGCCGACGCGAGAGGAATTTTGTTCGCTTTTGTCTTCAATATTGCAATAATATTTGCGAACGGGCAAATAGAAAAAGGAAGAAAAGAAAAAAAGCAACCGTGCTGCTGGCCTCGCCGGAGGAGAGTAGTTTTCACTCGAGCCCCCCATCATGCCACCAATCCTATTCCCAAACATTTTTTCTCAAGGCGTCAACCGGTGGCATGCTATGCTCTTCGAGAAGAAGCTTGAATCGTGAAATCAATCGCAAGTTGTTTTTTCTTTCAGAGGCAAAACACGCCAGCAGCGGCGGTCGTGCCAACGACACCCTTTTAAAGCACCTGTGTCCCGACCGCTGCTGTTCTGGTGCAGCAGTTTGCTCCCGGTAGCTAGCCCGGCCACGGCAAGCGCCTCGACCAATGCGGTGCTGTTAGGAGAAACTTGGCAGAGTTCGGAATGATCCGAATCCTATGTCTGTGGGCCGTTAAGTTAAATCCGTCGTCTACTTGTATGCATACGAGTACGGTCACCATGTTGCAGTTGTCGCGCGATAAAATCCTTCTATTTAGGCTGGTCTAAAGACTCCTAAATACCAAAAATAAATACCGTTTTTTGTGTATTTTTGGCTTCATTGCTCCTCCTGAAGGAAGAGGGTGGTGTCTCAAGTACCGCCGGTGACCTATTCACGGTGTTTTCGTGAACGGGAGCTGTGTGTGGCCCGCCAGATTCTCCATGACAAGTTCGGAGCAGCAGCGACATACTTCGTAGATTGTAGTGTAATAGAGTATGTGAAAAATACTACTGCCGCTGTACGGCGCACACGGATGCATGGAAAATATCTGGAAAAAATGAAGAACTCGGATAGTAAGAAGACAGATGGTCCGAAAACAAACGTGTTTGAAAATCTCGTTGCCCTGTTGATACATGGCTTTCGCAGAAGTTTCGCGAAAAATGACACGTGGCGCGTGGGAGCATGCTGACAAGCTCTATGTACCTTTCACCGCCAACAGGTTTTTTTCCAGTGATTGATGCAGAATGAAACTCTCATATTTGTATCAACGGACGGGTGCATGGTCCAAACTCCGCGAACGACAACACAGGTTCGCTGGTTCTTGTAATTTGTGTGGGCCGGATTACGGTACCGCGATAGAGCGCCTCAAAGACATGACGCTAAGTTGCTATAGACGGTGAATGCACTCAGAATCCGGTGTCATGTTATCAAGGCTACCTCCACCGACGATGACAATCTGTCCTTCTCCCAATGTATCCTTTCTTCGGATGGGAGGGAGCACTTCGAGGCCCGGAGAGCGGTGTCGGAAGAAGGGCCAACTCAGATGATATACAAATAACACCGCCGACGTTCTCCGGATGCCGTTGCTCCCCCCCACAATTTTGGGAATTTAGCAACTAGGAAGGGTACGTAAATTCAAAGACAGAATACCGTTTCACCCCTGTTTATCTCTTGAGGCGGCGCGGCGCACCACCTCCCAGCGCGAGGAGCGGTTCTGTTATTACCACGACCGCGATAATTCCTTGGTTCTTTACGCGGAATTATGTTTTATGACGGCATCATTGCGCCAAATGACCGCCAGCATTCTAAGACGCCCATCATGCTCCCCACCCCCGCCATTGTCTCGGCCTTGCCTCAACTCCGACGCTCTTCCACTCCCGACTTTCCTCCGTCGTTCGGCTGCGTTGCTTTGCTCTCTCCGGGCTGTGCGGTCTGTGGGCGCTACACTATAGTCTCCTGACCAACGGTTTCAGGCCGCACGCAGCAAGGAAGAGAGAAAGAAAGCACCAATAATATACTCGAGACAGCAGCAGCAGCGTCGAGTCGAAACAAACCATGGTGCTTACTTCTTCGCTTAAGGTGATGGGTATGGCGGGCCTCCTCGCCGCCGCCAACCTCGCGACCCCGGCTAACGCCTTCGACGGTGAGTAGAAACACGGGGTGGATGTTGTCGGTTCCCCGCGGTCCCGTTTCTGTCGTAACGCCTCTCCTTGGAATACTTGTTTCACGATCGTACTTTGCGTCGCCGGTGTGTTTCTTTGTGCGTACAGCGTGATTATCAGAAAGACCCCTACAAATCTTGAATTCCGCCCCCCCTTCCTCCTCGTGAGTAGGTTCCACCCTATGGTGGAATTGCAATAGGTCAACTGCAGGAGTGTCGTGCTTGGGTGGGCGACGAACGACTGTGTTGCTCGACCGGTGTTGACGTGTTGAATCCTCGTGGTCCTTAGACACGACCCTCTGTGCCCCCCGCTTGACATTTGCTTGCTGTGCGTTGTGATAGCTCGTGTGCAGTAATTACGTAGTTTTGTCGAGAGCACGGCGGCAGCATTCGTGCGGTTTCATGCGGAGAAAAAATAATGCAAAGAGTAGCACTTGCCCCACTGGGAGTCGAGTATTACTTTCCTATTGGTGCTTGTTGCTGCTGGGTGACGTTTTCGGTTGAGTATCCTTGGGAAATGTTGTATACAGATATTATTTAACCTGTAGCTTGCTTTTTGGGGACGGAAAGGTGCCGCTGATCGAGAGCTTGACTCATCCAACGAATCCCACGATATTTCTGCGCTTCCCCTATCGCTCTCGGCTGTTGGTGCTACCATTCTTTTCTCTCGCTCGTTCTCTCAGGGCGCAAGGGTCTGCGGGGGCACCGCAGTCTGCAACGTAAGTACCCTAAGACCAAGTGGCCCCGTGAATGCAGCTGTTTACATTCATTTCCTCAGCAGAAGGCGTTCTTTACAGCAGCGCTTTCTTGTTTGGCTGGTATTGTCGCGAGGACGGTTAATTTCCGCGATCGACTCGTTGTGGAATGGTAACAGTGGTACGCAGCCCCGTTTGAGCCGTGACGGCAGCGGGCGAGAGATCGATGTAACCGCTCCCCCGTCCCGGCAGCAGTGTTTCTTCGTGTCGCCCACCATGTCTGCGTAGACGGTCTCACATATTATCGCGGCATTCTTCGTAAGGCGCACCAGCAACCTCCTGCGTTCGACTCGTGTCGTCAACTGTTTGCGCGTTTGCGGCGCCGAGGCAAGTGGCGTCCCCGCAAACACATGGAACGTCTCGTCTACTTGTTGGAGAACAGGCAACCGTGCTGAATATCCCGCCCCGTCCCTCTCTCCCCGTTTGGGTCCTGCCTTCCACCAGAGGTTTGCAGCAACAGCATGAACGGCATCGAAGGCATCAACGAGAACGGCGTCGTCTGTTGCACCGCTGAGTGCGGCCAGTGCGGTGGGGAGGGCTGCGGGTCCGTGCCGGGCTTGGACAACACCAACTGCTGCATCAACGGCGTCCTGAACAACCAGGAACTTTGCTCCGTCGCCGGCGCCGCCCCTTGCGTGATCGACAGCGGCGACGGTAAGTATTTTCGCGGTGTTCTTTTTTTCTGCTCCGGAGCATTTTCGTGCCGAACGGCCTCCGCCGTTGACCGAAGTCTTTTTTTGCCCTGATTTTTACGCCCAACCCATGATTTTTTATTGTTCCGGGGTGACTGCAGCCGATATCCTCTTCGCCTCGCTCCCGCCTGTTCGTTGTTTGTTGTGCAGGTGTCACCGGCCCAACCCCGGTCGCCGCCACTACCCCGGCTCCCGTGGGAGGTGACCTCTTATTTTGCCGTTCTTGCCTCGCAATTTGACTGAGCCGACTTGTGCGTAGACTCGTGACACCACCAAAACTTGGAGCGAACGAACAGCAGAAGGACGGCCTATTTTTCTGGTTGTCGGGTCTTGGTCGTTGTACCTGTTGTGGTCAGTTGTTCCCACTCCTAACCTAAGCCCAGGCCACGTGTACACCTATACCTACCTCGAAAGTAGCATCTGTAGTTTCTGTCGGACAACCACGCCCCCAAAGCTCGCAGCGAACAACCAAGCAAGCACCACGTTCTTCGCCGTCCTGTGTGTGTTGGTCGTGCGATTGTTCCTGTCTTCCATCAGTTGCTCCTACTCCCGAGCCTGTCGCGGAAACCCCCGAGCCCACCGTTGCTGGCGGCGGAGGCACAGTTGACGCGGGTGGCGCGACGCCGTCTCCCACCGCGGCCGACGGCGACCGCGAGATCGAAATCACGCCTGCTCCCAGCGCGGCCGCTGGTGGCGGCGGCGCTACCGGCGGTGACACTACCCCGGCTCCTGCCGCTGGTGGCGGCGGCACTACCGGCGGTGACACCACCCCGGCTCCCACTGAGGTCGGCGCTGGTGGCGGTGGTGCTACGGGCGGTGACACGACCCCGGCTCCCAGTGAGGTCGGCGCTGGTGGCGGTGGCGCCACCGGCGGCGACACTACCCCGGCCCCGACTGAAGCTGGCGCTGGTGGCGGCGGCGCTACCGGCGGCGAAACCACCCCGGCTCCCAGTGAGGTCGGCGCTGGTGGCGGTGGTGCTACCGGCGGCGACACTACCCCGGCCCCCACTGAAGCTGGCGCTGGTGGCGGTGGCGCTACCGGCGGCGAAACCACCCCGGCCCCCACTGAAGCTGGCGCTGGTGGTGGCGGCACTACCGGCGGCGAAACCACCCCGGCCCCCACTGAAGCTGGCGCTGGTGGCGGCGGCGCTACCGGCGGCGAAACCACCCCGGCTCCCAGTGAGGTCGGCGCTGGTGGCGGTGGTGCCACCGGCGGCGACACTACCCCGGCCCCCACTGAAGCTGGCGCTGGTGGCGGCGGCGCTACCGGCGGCGACACCACCCCGGCTCCCAGTGAGGTCGGCGCTGGTGGCGGTGGTGCTACCGGCGGCGACACTACCCCGGCCCCCACTGAAGCTGGCGCTGGTGGCGGCGGCGCTACCGGCGGCGACGCCACCCCGGCTCCCAGTGAGGTCGGCGCTGGTGGCGGTGGTGCTACCGGCGGCGACACTACCCCGGCCCCCACTGAAGCGGGCGGTACCCGCGATGCCGGCGGCGACATTACCCCCGCCCCTACTGAGGCAGGCGCCGGTGGCGGTGGCGCTACCGACGGTGACACCACCCCCGCCCCCACCGAAGCTGGCGGTGCCGCCGGTGGCGACGTTACCCCGGCTCCCACCGTGGCAGGCAGTGGCGCGGGTACCGTTGGCGGCGGTACCACCGCTCCGACTGTGACCGGCGGTGCCGACACTACCCCGGCTCCGGGAGACGTGAACGGGGACGGGCTGGTGAACTCGGCCGACACCGGCATCGAGGGCGACACCAACGGCGACGGCATCGTGGACGACGCGGACACCGGGCTTGTCGGTGACACCAACGGTGAGTTTAGCCGATGCGCCTGGTGACGTCTGTCCCGACTTTTTGAAGGTTTTGCTGTTGGACGGCAGTGGTGGTCCGAAATGGTTACATGGTGGGCAACGAAAACGCTTTGCACGGTGGGCGTAGCCACCGATGGCGTGTACCCAGCGCCTCGAGAGGACAATCGGGCGTGAAGACAAGAATCGATCGCAGCTGTCCGAACGCGGCGAATGAGTGTACACGGGGTTTCGTTGTGGTCGTACATGCAGCACGCAGAGTTCCGCCTGTCTCCTTGGTAGGGTCATTGGTTGTTGATATCGAAGAATCTGTTTTTTGAACGCCCTCCCCTAGCGCCCGGTGCCTCAACCGCGTTACGCCTCTTGGTTATATCTCGTTGCAGGCGACGGCGTGGTCGACTCGTCGGACCCCATTGTCGGTGACATGAACGGAGATGGGCTGGTTAACTCCGCCGACACCGGCATCGTTGGCGACACCAACGGCGACGGAGTGGTGGATGACTTGGACACCGGGATGGTCGGTGACACCAACGGTGAGTCGTTTGTTTTGCTGATGACCAACCGTTTCTTCGGCGCTTCCTGTGCAATGAGCGCGCCGCTTCCGCAGCACTAGTCTTGTTGCTTGGTTTTCGTGCTTGGGTTTCGACTGCCTCTTCACCTTTTGCCGTACACATGACCGTAACTCTAAAACCCTATCCCTGTTGTCCAGGTGATGGTGTTGTGGACGACTTGGACCTGGAGGACGTGAACAGGGACGGGTTCATCAACTCCGCCGACACCGGCGTCGTCGGAGACACGAACGGCGACGGCGTGGTGGACGAATTTGACACCGGGCTTGTCGGTGACACTAACGGTGAGTCCGTGCGCGTTAACCGATGCCCTGTCATCTGGAGCATTTTTTTTTTTTTGCATACAGTGGACGGAGGTTGACACGGCAAAGTCCGTTGTAGAGAACAATCGGCATGAGATCAGCCATGTGTTTGCTTTCCTCCTGTCAACTGGACTCTCGTCCCCTCCCGACGCATACCCTGATGCGAACGCCCCCTTCGCCGTCCTGTTTCTTGCAGGCGACGGCGTGGTGGACTCCATGGATGGACTCGTCGGGGACTTGAACGGAGACGGCCTTGTGAACTCGGCCGATACCAACATCATCGGCGACACCAACGGTGACGGAGTGGTGGACGACGAGGACACCGGGCTTGTCGGCGACACCAACGGTGAGTACATCTTGGTTGCCGCCGCTACCGCTTGCTCCCGTGGTAGATACCATGCTGCCGCTGGCACTTACCTCTCAGCGAGGAAGGCACCTCGTTGGTGGCTTGACCCGGTGTTCGAATACCGTCGTACCGTCATGGTTGTCCTTACCGCCCTGCCTCATTCGCTGTATTTGTCTACTTCCAGGCGATGGCGTGGTTGACTCCCTTGACGACATTGTCGGAGACGTCAACGGAGACGGGCGGGTCAACTCCGCCGACACCAACATCATTGGAGACACGAACGGGGACGGAGTGGTGGACGACGAGGACACCGGGCTTGTCGGTGACACCAACGGTGAGTCTGTGACCGTTTTGCCGAAAACGGTTCTTCCATGGCCCGTACTTGTTCTTCTGCTGGCACTTGACACTTCAAGGGGAATACGCGGCAATTCTGTCTCGACGCCTTAGTGGTAAGCCGAAAACCTCTCCGTGTTCCCCGTATCTCTTGTTTAACTGTACAATGGCGGCTACGTTTTAAGATAGGGTCGTGACAAGTCGGGTCAAGCAAGTTTCAGTTTTGCGAATCGGCACCTTTTCTTAAATAGTCTCTCTTGAACCGTAGCCGCTATTGTGCTGGTTACGAACACGGCGATGGTAACCCGAACACCCTTTCTCATTCCCTTACCTCGAAAAATCCTCTTTAAACAAGGCGACGGTGTGGTGGACGACCAGGACGTGGAGGTTGGAGACGTTAACGGAGACGGTATCATCAACTCGGCCGACACTAACATCGTTGGAGACACGAACGGTGACGGGGTTGTCGACGACGAGGACACCGGGCTTGTCGGCGACACCAACGGTACGCCGGTGGTGATCGGTTGCCGCTAATTTGTTTTGTTGGCCGGTATGAAATCAAGACAAAAAAGTATTTATCTATGTCCTGTACAATGCCGCTACCCCTATTGAACAATATTCTTGCCAAAGGAAGGCAAAGTGATTTATCCAGACACAGTAGATGCTTGTAGTCGCGTTTCAGACAGGGCATAGGCGCAGATTTTGCGTTGGGTTTCACGGAAAATGTCACCACGGCCCTGTAAATCTCAACACTGCGTGTCCCGGCAGTTCCCGCGAGCTCCTTTCATAACATCTGAACCCGCCTGCATCATCTGTTCTACCTACCCCAGGCGACGGTGTGGTGGACTCCCTGGACGAAATTGTCGGGGACTTGAACGGAGACGGGCTTGTCAACTCCGCCGACACCGGCATCGTTGGCGACACCAACGGTGACGGAGTTGTTGACGACCTCGACACCGGGCTTGTCGGTGACACCAACGGTAAGTCGGTGGTTATCGTTTGCCGCTAACTGTGTTGGGTGATCGATACACTACAGGCATACATGCTCCACTTGTCTTGATCATGATTGACTGTCGAACATGACCGCTGTACCCCCCCCCTCGTTGTGTCGCTGTACCCCTTCCAGGCGACGGTGTGGTTGACTCCCTGGACGAGATCGTCGGAGACATGAACGGCGACGGACTCGTCAACTCCGCCGACACCGGCATCGTTGGAGACACCAACGGTGACGGAGTGGTGGACGATCTGGACACCGGGCTTGTCGGTGACACTAACGGTAAGTCGTTTTTCTGTTCACCGCTTCTGAGCCGCAATAGTAGTATGCCCAGCCAAAGGTGGATAAGAAACCTGCGTGCGTGAATGTTCGTGGTGGTTTAGTCGGAACGTATTCCGAGGTCCCTATATTTTATCTGAACCCGCCCTCTCCGCCACTTTAGGCGACGGTGCGGTGGACTCCCTGGACGAGATCGTCGGAGACATGAACGGCGACGGACTTGTCAACTCCGCCGACACCGGCATCGTTGGCGACACCAACGGTGACGGTGTGGTGGACGAGGAGGACACCGGGCTTATCGGTGACACCAACGGTGAGTCGTTCTTCTGTTCGCCGCTGCCGTTGCTGCCAGCCTTAGCATGCCAAGCGGATACGGGTATGAGTGAGTGATAATCCGCGTGGTTTTGTCGGAAAGTATGTCGAGGTACTTCTCGTTGTACGTGAACCCGCCCGACCTGCCGTCCTCGTCCCTGCTTCTCCAGGCGACGGTGTGGTGGACTCCCTGGACGAGCTCGTGGCAGACACCAACGGAGACGGACTGGTCAACTCCGCAGACACGAACATCGTCGGAGACACCAACGGGGACGGAGTTGTGGACGACGAGGACACCGGGCTTGTCGGTGACACCAACGGTGAGTGGTGACGGGTCGTCTCCGAAACCAGCTTGTTAGCTTGTCAGGTACACAAATTTAGATTTCGGCAGGGCCTGTCTAGGAGCTCTAATTAACTTTGTCGTTGTCCGCTTGGCGACCCGCGTGAAGTGTCGCAGCAAAAAATATCGTGACTATTTTGAAGCCTCCACGTTGTAATTCTTGACCGCTGCTGTCCCTTCCAGGCGACGGTGTGGTTGACTCCCTGGACGAGATTGTCGGAGACATGAACGGAGACGGATTGGTCAACTCCGCAGACACGAACATCGTCGGAGACACCAACGGCGACGGAGTTGTGGACGACGAGGACACCGGGCTTGTGGGTGACACTAACGGTAAGTCGTAGGGGTTAGTTTTGCCGCTCTACCTCTGCGGTAAGCATGCGGTCAACAAGGGCAATGATAAGAACAATGGACGAATGTTTGCGGTAGCGATTATTGAGCATTCAACAGCAGAGTCTTTCGCTAGTTGTATGGAATATCTTGTAGACTACTAAATATGACCTCCGATCACAAGTACCTCCTTCGCTGCTCTGCTGTCCCTTGCAGGTGATGGTGTGGTGGACTCCCTGGACGAGATGGTCGGAGACATCAACGGAGACGGACTGGTAAACTCCGCAGACACGAATATTGTTGGAGACACCAACGGCGACGGAGTTGTGGACGACGAGGACACCGGGCTTGTCGGTGACACCAACGGTGAGCCGTGGGTGTGCTTATGTTTGCCGCGACAGCTGTTGCCGTAACACGTGTTCAGTTGCATTGTTGCCACCTCCACTGCTAGATATGAACTACAGGGATAACCCTTGGCGAGTGTCCCAAGCTGACGTCGAGCTCCTTGATGGTTGTTCGACAAGTTGACCTCATTCACTGCTCTGCTGTCCCTTCCAGGCGACGGTGTGGTGGACTCCCTGGACGAGATGGTCGGGGACATGAACGGAGACGGGCTTGTCAACTCCGCCGACACCGGCATCGTTGGCGACACCAACGGCGACGGAGTGGTGGACGACGAGGACACCGGGCTTGTCGGTGACACCAACGGTGAGTCGTATGTTTTGCTGATCACCGCTTCTTCGGCGCTCCTTGTGCAATGAGCATGCCGCTTCCGCAGCTTTCGTCTTGTGGTTGGTTTTTCGATCTTGGGTTCCGACTGCCCCTCCACCTTACCGTACATCTGATCATTACCCTAACCCCAAACCCTGTTGTCCAGGTGACGGGGTTGTGGACGACTTGGACCTGCAAGACGTTAACGGGGACGGGTTCATCAACTCCGCCGACACCGGCATCGTCGGAGACACGAACGGCGACGGAGTTGTGGACGACCTGGACACAGGGCTTGTCGGTGACACCAACGGTAAGTCGGTCTTTGTTTTTTCGCTTCACATCTTTCGATGACGTTTTGTCAGGTGGACATTTGGTAAGAGCAAACTCGCGCTGGCTTGTTTGATTAGAGCTGATTCTATCCTTGCCCCTCCGTTGGCGATGCAGGGCCTACGGTAAAGTGCTAGGAGTCAAGCAAGACGTACTTGTGTCCCTTACCCCCCTCCAAGAATCAGAGAGTTGCTGGCCTTTTTGCTTTATCTTGAAGGTCATCCGGCACAGCCACCTCCCGGGTTTGTTGCTCCCCTTGCCTGATTTCAACACCCGCCTTTGGTGATGCGCTAGCCTAGCCCGGATAAAAACTGCAGCTCCTTCCCGGCTTTGAAGGGATGCGCGGTCGGTCAATGGTCTAACGACTACGTCATGCACGGCTGTGAGTATAAGGAGCCCCTCACCCCCCCCACCCCCTCTCATCTTGCGTCCCCCCTACAGGCGACGGCGTGGTGGATTCCACGGACGAGGTCGTCGGAGCTACCCCTGCCCCGAGCGCCAGCATCGACGGCTCTCGCGGCATCGACGGCGGTCGCACCCTCTCCCCCGCTGCAGAGTTTGGCGACACTCTCTCCCCCACCTCCGCCCCGACCACCGCCGCGGAGGCTCTGGACAGCTCGGCCGCCCCGACGTCAGCGGTGGACGCGAGCGAGGAGTGCCCCGAGGGGATGGTGCCGAACGAGAGCACCTCGACTAACCTGCGGTGTGTTAGCGGCGCGGCGGGTTTGTTCTCCGGCGGCCGCGCGTACTCCGGCGTGGTGTACGCGGGCGTTCTGGGCCTCGCACTCGCCGCCGGCGGCGCGCTTGTTCTGTGATAAGGACAGGGATGTTGTGCGACCGGAACAAGATGTTCTTTATCGGAATGAACAAGAAGTTCTTTATCGGAATGAACAAGATGTTCTTTATTGGAATGAACAAGATGTTCGGCAAGGAACAAGATGTCCCGTATTCGGAACACTTGCAAGATGTTCTGTAATTGGCACAAAACGAGACGTAACAATAACAGGACAGGCATCGGTGTGGCGACTGGCTACAGCAGGGCTTGATTTTTCAGAGGAACATGAACGCTTCGTTACAAATTGAACTAACATGACTAATTTCGTACGGGTTTGGCTTAAACGCTTAAACTAACATGACTAATTTCGTAAGGCTTTGGCTTGGGAATCAACAGTGCAATGACGGAGGGGGCAGCAATACTGCTTTTATCGTGTGTTGGTTTTCCGTCGGTTGGGTGGGGGGGGCTGCTTTCTCGCGGTCTATTTTCTGTTATTGATGCTGTTCAGTGTAGAAATGTTAACTGGTGGGCGGCAGCGGGCGGTGGTAATGCGGAGGGAGGCTCGGCTGGACTGTGTCATTAGGAGGGGATGTGTCTTGCACGTGGAAGGATTGATGTGTAGATCACCGCGAAAACCTGTCCGTACATGTTCTACAGTACTCCCCCCCCCTCTGGACCCCTGGCGAGCCCCTTGAGCGTTGGACAATACCTTGAGTTTCTTCCTCGCTCGGCGACAGGTTAGATTTGTAATTTTTCTCTTGAGAACGAAAATTACCTCGGATTTATTTTTTTCGGTTTACGACTTTGGCAGAGGTGCTGTACTTCATTGACTGCGGCTCTTTTCGGTTTGACGGGCAATCTGATTAGCGTGTGCTGTTTGTGTCTAGTACGCATCTCGTGTGTTTAAATTTTTTTGATTTTAGAAGATGACGGCTCCAAACCGTCTCGGCTTGCGGCCAGGCTATCCTTTTTTGACGTGTCCTTTTTCGACATGCCTGGGAAGTTGCAAAATACAGTTGTAAAGGGGTTGGGGGGGGGATCGTGCCAGGTGCGTGGTTGGTTGCTTTTCGCCGTCGGACGGCACCACCGCGAAGGAAAGCACGGGGCCGAGATGTGGGTACCGCCGCTTTTCATGGAACGGTCCGCGTTCTGCGGAACGGTTCGCGTTCTGCGGGGGAACTTTCCAAGCGCCGAACATGGCGGCGCTCAAACATTTGCCAGATGTTTTCGGGGGCAAGCCGCGAGGTGGCCGTTTATCCCCTTTTTAAACAGCAGCGATAGCGTTGTTGTGTGGCATGTTTAGATTGGTTTCAATGAACTGAGCTATGGTTCGGTTTTTCCTTAATTGTCCCATATGATGTCGTGTCGCCATTTTTTTCTTGGTATTGTAGTGCCTCAGCGGTAGCAGCAGATTTGTAGCTACAGCAGTCAGTGGCGGTGAGGAGAGGTGGGTGCGCGCAGCAGTTTTAAGAGCACGGGAGCGCTCGTTGAAAAGAAGAAGCCCCGTGTATGTTAAGGGGTTGTGTCGTCTGTCTGCGGAAAGATCGCCGTGCCTCCCTGCACTCACTCACTCACCTTTTTTCTATATTTCGGACGTTCCTTGTGTAGTTCTGCGTGCGCATTCGGAAATAATGCAGAACGTTCATCCACCCTTTCGTGTCGATCGCAACGATTCATCTCACCACAACAAGCTTTGAAGTTGTTTGGAACACTTGTTCTGGGCGGTTAGGAGCGTGAAGACTGGCGTCCAGAATGAAAAGAACGACACATTCAAACGCGAGCCTTTCTCTCTATGCGTCTGGTACCGTTACCGTCTTCACTCCGAAGAATGGGCCATCCTCTACTACCACGCCGTCCTCTCCCAGATCATGGCGTTCAGGACCGTCTTTGCTTGGACTCTGAGATTGGGGTCCGTTTTCACGGGCCATCCGGATGTAGCGTTGTCGATGAAAGCAATCAGTCATACGAAAGGAATCTACGTGCCGCTCTACTACATGCAGACTATTACGAGATATATATGTCTTCTTCCAGGAGGAGCTCCTCGACTTCTTTACAGTCGAGGCCCCGGTTTAGCGGTCCATATGTCACAAGATGTTACACCCGCTATCGAGGGCATCACCGCTAAAAAACCGGATTGGGTAGTTGTTTAGCTGGTAGTTGCACTACCGAGGTGCAGCCGTGCCACGAAATTTTGGGACCGCTATTCAGGGCGTCCCGCTATAAACAGAGAACCTAAACCGGGACCACGACTGTAGTACGCCTTTGTCAAAAGCCAAGCCAGCTGAATCAAACGGCGAAACCTTCGTGCGGTCTTCCTCGCTCGGTGTCCATTCGTCGAGCCGACCCCATTTGACCGTATTAATTGTCTACTCCTGTGGTTGTCAGGGCTTCAGAGACACTTTACTTTTTTTCTCTTTTCGTCCATCCTTCGCGATGGTCGGCCACGCACGGTACATTCACTGCCCCCGACCCGCTCGTGGGAACACTGCAATACTGATAATAGCCTTCAGGACGGTGGCTCGTCATCGGGGCCCTTTGCTATTTTCCACGCATACCTAAGCAAGCACTGCACGCAGAGAAATTAGCATAGAGGAGGCCGCTGTTTAACCCTGCGTAGGCTACTGCCCTTGTAACGTGAGGGATGACGTGGTGAGTGTCTGGCGCATGCATACCTATACATACATCGTGCACTTGAATGGACAATCCATCCATACATATATATGCATACGGGAGTGAAAAATACCCAACTTCTGCAAACAACCGAAAATTGAACGCAGAACAACCCATCGCTTAGTTGTTGCGATTGGCGTGCTCCGGCGTCGACACCATGCTACCGCGTCCCACTCATATTCGGTAGCTCGTTCAGGTCTACCGGGAGCATCGATCGCGAGACACCAAATGGACTATGCGGACAAAGGCGTCCGTCCTTGATTTTGAGAGCTGGCGGGCCGAAAAAAAAAAAGAGGTGTGTCACCGTTGTTGACGTGTGGCATGAACGTGAAGTCCGCAGGAGGTGGTGAGGTTGTCGGCAGGAGGACTCGATCAACATGTTTGCAATAAAAAAAACTTCTGATCATTCATAAGTATCATTAAATAATGAGCACATGACGATTATACCGACACTCCAGTATTCCAACAAATGTTGGACAAAACGGGACGCGTACCGCGCTACAAGAAATATTAGCCAATCCTTGCTTGCCGCGGATTCTGCGCTGCTACTGCTTCGACTACCTACTCGACACCCCGGCGAAACACGACGGCAAACAACCTTCTTTCCTTCCACGTCCAAGAATGAAGTCAGTCCACGAACGAACATCGAGACAGAGGGAGAGAGATAGCAAGCACCCAAGGATACTCGCACCCCCCTTTTTTTGTTGCCGGCGCACGACTCATCACACCCAAACACTTGACTCCCGTCCCCTTTTTCTACGCATTAGAAGACCAAGTAGCTCAGCAAAACAACAACACGGAAGGAGGTGAGATCATCCCCATCGCGGCTTGGCTTTCAACGACGGGAGGGAGCGCCGTCTGCTTGTCGACCCAGCCCCTAACGACAGCCCGTCGCTTCAGTGTGTTTCTCGACTCTGTACAGGGAAAACAGACCAGCAACGCGTCCGAGCGCGCGCCATGCCGCCGGTTGACAATCTGGGGTCGGTTTGCCGTAGCATTCTCAACGAAACGAAAGAGAGCGCTCGAAAAAGACAGTTACCAACTTTTTTTTGTCGGGCTCTATTTTATCGCCCAGCGCTCCTCCTCCTCCTCTTCTCTCTCCTCCTCAAGGGAGGAGACTTCACGACAAAAAAACTTTCGGACCGAGAAGAACCAATCACATGGTTTATCTTGTCCGAATACGTACGTACGTACAGATTTCCCAACAACCCAGCAGAGGCAAAACTCCCCAAGAACACGCTATACCCGCCCACGAAGCGAACGACCATTCTGTTCTCTGATTTCTCAGACGGCTTCCTCGCCAGGTTGTTGCCAGTTACATCTCCAACCAAGCTTCAGGGAAGACTGGGCCCAGGGCATCTGTCTGTCGCTGGAAGTTTTTACTGCTACTGCAAACGAGGAGGACAAGACAGGGAAACCCCGCAACAAGGCGGGGCCAAAACCATTGAAGAAAAATGTGCATTACGACAAAACACAACCTACCCCCTCCGTCCCTCGTCCGATTCTGCGGAAACAACCCGAAGCGACCAATAGCGAGAGACGCTTGTGCCGCTTTCACTTCCAAAATGCGAAAAACGCACCGTCTACAACTTCTCCCACGCTACCGAGTCTGGACGTGACGTACCTGATTACGGTAACATGCACCTCACAAAGAGCACTTGCCCAAGGTCAAACACCCGACCAGAACCGAACCTCCTCGCCCCCCGCGTAGAAAGAACCAGCAGGCCGAACGGTGTTTAGCGGGCGAGCATCAAAACCAAGACCAAGAATTGCCGAAGCTACGAGATGTCCATGATGCCTCTTGTCTGAAGTATCTATCGTTGGCCAACCGCATGTGCAATTCGTTTACCTGTTTCTACGCCTCCACTTCTACAGGTCTACTACGCAGCCGATCGCGACCGCCGCAACAGTATCACCCGCCCATGCGGCGCTCATTGGCGGAGCCACGGCGGGGAAAAGGCAGGTTTCGGCCACACCAACAAACCCACTGGCCTTCGCTTCGAATAAAAAAAAAAATCACGGCGTTCCTTCAAGAACGTCGTTCCTAACCGTTCCTGCGCGAGGAGTCCGTTCGTTCGCCCCAGCTAACTGAATAACCCGCCGCTGCCGCCGCTCTTTCATCACGCGGCGAGCACGGCGGCCGCGAGGAGCGCCGCGGACGCGGCGGCCAGCACCGCCGCCGCGGAGGAGCGAGCGTGCCCCAGCCCGGGGGCCCCGTCCGCGTCCCCCTCGGCCCCCGCCTCCGTGTCGCCGTCCTCACTGGTCGGCGCCGGCGTCGCCGGGACGGCGTCCGCTCCTTCGTCGTCCGTAGACGACGCGGGGGACGGCGCCGGGGTCTCGTCGCCGTCAGTCGGCGTCACCTCCCGGTCCGCGCTGGTGCCGGTCCCCGCGGAGGAGGGAGTCACCGTCGGCACGGGAGTGTCGGCGGTCGCCTCCTCGCCGGACGTCGGCGTCGGAAGAGCGTCGTCATAGCCGCGGCGGTCGGGGCGGCGCCGTCTT